AAGCTTCACCATAACAACGCCTTTCAACCCCTATCTTTCGGTGCCCATCATAACGGTCCGCCTCACTACAACTCAGGTCACTCTGGATTGCCTTCTCCACCTCTACGAAGCCTCAGAAGATTGGCCTACATAAGTCCGTCATGGTTTAGTAGCATAATTTGTGTGTCGTAGTATCGTTACTGACTGGGCTTGGTCTGCACTCGTGTTAGACTGGCTTAGCTGATTGGAGAGCGGCGATGACTTGGTGGATCTCATGGCTCAGTATCGTGGGTTTAACGGCTCAGTATCTAGACGGCTCCACTAACCCTGTAAATCCTGGAGCCTAGTATTCAGGATAGATGGAGAGCTCTTTTCGGCCCGTCAATCATGAGTTGAGCAATTCATTTGATTCCACCGTTGGCACCGAGATCTCTGCGCAACGAGCTGCCGAAATCTTCTCTTGACCGGCTTCAATTCGTTGCTCTCATCGCCAGCATTCTCCTTCTCCGGAAAGACCGACATTTTCCTCATGCTCATTGACAATTGCTTCACTCTGCGCTTGCAACAGGACAAGAAGAAAGTGGCCTCGGCCGTAATACTCTAATAATTTCCTGCAGGCTAAAACCAAAATAAGCGCTGTCGTCGCGGCCTCGAAAAGTTTGAAATGTCAAAATATGATAATTCAATCTCTTGCTACATGATGTTCTTGTTTCAATGGCTCCAGTGTATTCGCCATAATAATAGAGATTGTCAGCGCGAATCTGGACCATGACCAATTTGGTGACGCGCTCGACTCTATGTAGACGTTACATGCACCAAATTTGATCGCCCTTGCTTTCTGATGTATAATTGACCTTCGAAATCCCTCAATCTCGCGCTTTAGTATGGAGTTTTCAGTGCGCAGGTGCTGGAAGGCGGTCTCAAACTTGCGGAGTTGTTCTGCAGTCGCAGCGTCTATTACCTCCTTCATGACCCCTGAAAGGAGTGTTCGAAGTTGCTGCTCGCCACGAGGGCCTAGGATCTTTGTAATAATACTTCCTGAGTCAGAAGAAGATGGACGAGGTTGTTCTAAAGAAGAAGTAGGCCTGGATGGAGGCTTCTTAAGCTGGTTAAGGACAATCGACGGATCTGACGGTATTACACCTGTTTGGCGCCATGCAGACATTATATTGTCTACGGTAAATGCTCGGGAATATGCATTTTTGTAGAATCTATAGAAATCTCGTTTTGAGATGCATCTAATGGCTGCAGGCGATGGGTGGCATGTGGAGGAAACACTGCGACAAGAATCTTATGTCCTTACCTTCTTCTTGGTATTCTGATCGAAGATTTGGTGAAGCCAAACGAGTCCTAGCTCATCTGTAATCCATCCTTTAGGCGATGAGGTAAAGAACTCGATATCATCTGGTTTCCAGTCGCACATCCAGGAGTCCTGCAGATCGCCACTTTTGGCGCGGTAAATGAGACCACTTGGTATAGCAGTTCCGTCGCCGCATATACAGCATAGGACCGTAATCCATTCTCGATTACCATCTTGCGCGTTTCCTAGAAGCTTCTTATTCTTTGCTGCTTTCTTGGAGAAGATCCTGCGCGTCTTGATGCCAATTCCGATCATGAAGCCTTTCTCATCGAAATTGTACATATTATGCGGCTCAATGTTGTATTCCTCTATTTCTGCCTTATAAGGTTAAAATAGGCTAGGTAATCGATGTAGTTGTCTGCCTTTTGTCTGCTTCGATCGATAGGGGTAAGGTATCGTGAGTCCAACGAATCGCTATGAGTACGCGTTTAGGTCGAGATCTAGTTCTTTGAAGGCTGTTTTCCAAGAATAGTAATTGCAAAGTTAACTACCATAGCAGGAGTAGGAGGGAGACCTCGATCTGAGAGTCTTTTGACGTGTTTGAGTAGATAGGCGTCTTGGGTGTTGTTCATGAGTCGCATGTCGCGCGCCATTTGCTGCCGTGAGCCATTCACGCGACGGTGACGTCTAGATAACGTAGAACGCGCTACACCGTATTCTTTCGCAGTTGCAGTATAATCAGGTGTATCCTGCAAATCCAACGCTGCAATTGCAGCCTCAATTGCGTCCATATTGGTGGAGATGTTACGTGTCAAAGTTCGCGACTCATACGGGAATTCGTGCACACTAGTTGATGGGACGAGGAGCGTTCCCGTACGGAGACGTGATGAACTGTTAGTAAACTTCCCGTGCGGGGTCGTTCTATGAGGACCTTTCCCGGAAGCCCAGTTCCATTTTCAGATGTTCTATTGATAGAAGATCCGTACTGGGCGATGGGACGAGGGCCTTTCCCGTGCGGAGACGCGATAAGCTATTAGAAAGTTTCCTGCGCGGATCAAGTCTATAGGAATTAGTTCAATCGCCCATACTCTACTCAAGCCAGCCCGAGATTAGAAGGGAAAGGTCCGCACCGAGAAGATGTAAGCTATCACGTAAGGACCCGTGCGGATTATCTAGGTATGATGACGGTATCAGCATGGCTGCGGAATTTGTCTCTAAGAGGCATTCAACGATTGGATCGGATCAACATCACTAAATTGAGGGTCGCAGAGAAGGGCAACTAAACTAACGTTAAGTTCTATTTGGACTTAACTCCAGATCTTAACTTAGTTATTGCGTTCTGAGAGTCATTCAATTCTCATTCGAAGTCAGCCGTTGCTGATTTCTGCATGATCCTCATAGCTTGCCGGACCTGCATACTGAGTCCTATCAATGCGAAAGGACTTCCGCACTAGAGAACGGACCGTGGGGAAATCCCTGTGCGCCCCGTACGGATCCATTCTATGAGGACTTTCCAGTAAACTGCACATTAGTCAAGGCGGGCGGGTATGAGGGAGGCGCGGGCATATCATGACCATTAGAGAGAACACCCGCACCTAGCGGTGATTGTGCTTACATCGCCTGCTTCGACGTCGAGACCAGTGTTCGACAAGGCGAACGAATCGATAGCCCCATGGGCTTGAGGGATTGCACGATTGTGAGCTATACCGTTCCGTCCGTTGACTCCTTGAGTTCCGCTGGGGACACAAAGTAGTGGGATGGCTTGCTCGATCGATGAAGGCGCTTCGGGCAGGTCCTGAGAGCTCTGCAGGCGGCTCTCGCCGAAGGAGCGCTCCTCGTTTCTCGAGCCACCTTGCCATGATGGGAATTGGAGTTGCGACAGAAAGATGTTGCGCCCTGTAGACAGCGACCAATTCCTAGATCGCTGCTGGTCTGTCTGGTGGAATCGGAAGTCGCTAGAGCGTGTGAAAGAAGCCCCCGCGTCTTGGGCCAGAGTGCTGGAGAACATGCTGAAGGGTGATCGTATTGGTATGGAGATGAGTCGAGGAAACGCGAAGGGCCATGGTCTGGTAGACAGCGGACGCGGTGCCATCTTTATACCCTCCCTAAACGATCTCGTCGTGGCTGCCGCATGCTTCCCAGGCGGAGCCACGCCCCTGACGAAGCAGTGCTGTCCAGGTGCAGCAATTATTAGGGCCGGCAGACTGTCCTCCTTGAAGATAAAACGCCGAGATGCGAGGCGTTCCTGGCCTATCGTTTCTACTTCGTACTGGAGTGCATCAAGTCGTGAGGTAATGCTATTTGACGATTGGACCAGCCTGTCGCAAACTCGCATTCATGTACATATCAATCTGCTGCGCCGCCAGCGCCGGCTGGGCCAGCATGACATAGTCGTCATCAGGAGTCCAAATGAGTTTGGTGATCAACTGCCGACGAGATGTGAAGACTTCCATGAGGAGAGCTCGCAAATTATAGTTATGTCGGCCTGAAGAAAAACGAAATCATTACTCTTGTTTCATACAGAGATGACTCAGATATCTCTTGCATCTCTGAGAGAAGATCTGACTTTCTTTGGTTGATGCATGGCTTAAGCCCCTGAGGCGGAAGTCGACCGTGCGTATCCTCTTTTTCTCTGACAGAGCACATCCTGATCGCAAGCCTGAGCCGCCGACACTACAGACACTCCGCCCCCGACTCATGTACCCAAGCATGCCTTTGGAGAGCCTGCTTGTTGTCAAGAGGCTAACACCTTGGCAAGACCAGGTTTCGTGTTGATAGACTCGGGGGAACTGCTTTCCGGACCCATGTTCCAGATGGAAACAATTGGACTTCCTGGGAGCTTGCACTTAGTCCTTGATATCGCTCTGCCTTGGATCGGCTTCTCAGACTCGGGAAGCTAATAAATATACTGGTACCGCGCTGGTCTGTCAATGTTGCAACAACAGTGCCCTGTTGATCAACTCCTCGCCATCAGTATGAATAGTTCCCAGGATACCATCGAAGACCAGACTGTTTACCAGGTAATGTTCTTTTTGGGGTCGAAAGCTCCATCTACTGAATGCTGGTAGGACCTTATCGCCAGATCTGACCAACGTAAGAAGGCTGTCGATCAAAATGCCGCAGTCGAGAAGACAGTTTATGAGGAGATTACCCCAGAAGCCCAGCCACAGGCAGCCCTCCATACAGAGGTCTTTTCCGGAGCTGACACTCATTCTGATAAGGGGAGTCTCATAGGTGCACTAAGCCACAGATATGAATCCAATAGCTTACACACGTAGGCACACTTGAGCGAATGGCCACTACCGTGCTGGTCTTGTCTGGGAAGGTTGATCTGTCTTTGGATAGAGCAAAAGAGATTGACAAGAACGTGCGCACATTGTCTCGAACAGTTGGCATGATTCTGGAAAAGCTCAAGAAGACGGACGAGGTACCAACGTCGTTGCTCAACTCTAGATCCGGAGAGGTGGAAAATAAGTCGAACGACGGCACCAATCACGAGACAAGTGCGAAGAGTAAACGCAAGGCCGATGTCCTAAGAGATACGTCTGATACTTGCAAAAGGCAAAGACGTACCCTATGTTAAATGTTTGATGTGTGTAGAGTTTGTAGATGACGAAGATCAGACAATCCTTGTGGACTCGCTTCAGATTGGACGTTGTGCCGAACGTCGGATAGCCCGGCATAAATGTCGCTTCAACAGCAACAGCAGAGTAGTCCTTGGGCATTACCGTCGTGACATAAGGACGATCTGACTAGTGGAAAGTGTGGAGCTCTCATGCTGCGCTCAAAGCCCTCAACGCATGTAGTCTCTCTTGCATGAATGCTGCGGGCCCAGGAGCACCTCTCGTGGATCTCTTGTCTGTCTGTCTCTTCCGCTTACGATTTGGAGACAGTTCTTCAAGGGGAGACCTCGCCTCGAGGACGAGCGCCCGCTCAAAGTCAATGACAACCACTTTTCGCTCAGCTGATTTCCACAGGAGGTTTCGCAGCGTGAGATCGCGATGTAGCACCCAATGTTCATGGATAGAGCCGATTGCACGTTCGACTTGTTTGTGGATTTCGGCCAAGTGATTCGATAGGATCCCTCTCGAGACCTTCACGCCACCAAAGCTCATGAACATCATATGTGTCAGCTCCGCGATGCCGTCATATTCATAAGGCTGCGTGAGATCGATGTTCCCCAGGTGTACCGGCACATGTTTTCCTTGGATCGAGCGCAAGCAGTCGTAGACGGCAGCCTCATGTTTGAGATGGCAGATAAATTCAGCCGGCGTACCCTTGGCCGCAACAGTATATCCATGCGAGGTGAGGCAGATACGGAACAGGACACCGCGGGAGCCATGGATACGCAGGCAATCAACGTCATGGTCCAGATCCCTGGAAAGCTGCTCGTGCATGAGACGGAGAAAGGCTGATCGGTCGATCTGGTGAGTGTGCCTTCCATGTGCCTTGACATTGGGACATTTGTGGTCCAGGGGCCCACGCACGAGGAGGCCTCGCAGACACTCCGAGGTGCAGTACTGCCTCTCCTTGCCTTGGTTTGAGGCACCAGTCCGTCCCGCTGTCGTTTTGGTCCTGGACGATCTCTCTTGATTCGCTCGTCGCGATGCATGTCGCCTCGTAGCAGGCGCAGGCGTGTCTGGGTCCGGTTCGGTGTCGCTACTGCTCCGATCATGTGGCTGTGGAGAACTACAAGACGTCGAGGGACGTGATGGTCGTGGTCGAAGCTGGATCGGGCAGTCTCTGAGCTGGGTCGTGCGTGAGGGGGGTACGTAGTCTGACGTGAGGCGTTCTGGGGTGGGCACTTGGTCGAGCAGCTCCTCATACGTGATCTCCCAGGGCACAAGCAAGCTACGCGCATCGCTCTTCCACTTCTGACTCCGTGGCGTACTTTGAATCGCCATCAACGTCAACGCTAACATACGTCCAACAGCAGTCATGTGCAGGCAGTTGGGCTGGTCCAGTGCTGGCGTCCAGCCAGTTTCCAGACCAACATCGTGTTTGGGCACCGAGAGGTGATAGTATACAGTCCTGGGATCGTCAAGGACCCGAAGAAAGATGTAGGCTTCGCCTGTGCAGACGCAACCGTACTCCACTCCAATCTTGATCATGTAGGAAAATGCCTGGACGATGATTGCGGCGACCAATCGTTGCAACTTCGCCTCCACGCCTTCGTTATCCTTCACCTGCACTACCTCATCTAGGTCCATCTCTTGCAAACCTGCGCAGATGCATGCCAGTGAAACCTTATGCGGCGCTTTGTACTCAATGATGTACGCCGGTTGACGGTATGATTGATCACCCGAATCGACGTGGTAGACGCAGAATTGATCGGCACGGGGCCGGGAAGATTTTGGTCCTACTGCGGCGCTCTGTGCTGGAGGGGTGGGATGCTGCAGGGATTGGAGCCTGGCCGAACGACGTGGTGCGCCAGAGATATCCATAGCCTGAACAGCCTCTTCAATCTGACTGTCCGAGCTTAGAGTGTTTCCATGATTTTCAAAAGTCACCGAGCCTCTGAGGCCGAAGGACTTTCGAAGCTCGTTCTCATCCGTGATAGCAGTGACGACCTCAGAGATAGGATTCTCCACTGTCAAACGCTGGAAGAAAGTGAGGTCTGGCTCCGAGCTGCAGAGTCTCGGGCCCACGGATTGACCCAGCTCTTCTAGTGTGTTTATGGAGGTGAACTGACGCGTCTGAAAGAAGTTCGAGTCTTGTAGCTTGGCCCAGATGAATTCCTGCTGCTCCTCGAAGTCCAGCCAGTGACGTATATAGCGTGGACGTAATTTGCGCTGGGCATTGTCAGGATTGCCTTGAGTGGAACGTGAGGCATCGGTTTGGACAGTGAACCCCAGGGAGAGATGGGTGTGACAAGTATGGAGATATTCGGAGAGTGTAGTTTTTCGTGTTCGTTCTTCTATATTGTTGCGCGCACGTTCTGCCTCCTCTTGGGCGCGTTCTGCCTCCTCTTGGGCGCGTTCTGCTTCCTCTTGGGCGCGTTCTGCCTCCTTACGTCGCCGTTGCTCTTCTTCACGTCGCCGTTGCTCTTCTTCGCGTCGCCGTTGCTCTTCTTCGCGTCGCCGTTGCTCCTGAAAGTAGAGCTCTTTGTAGTCAGGTTCGTCCATGTCTGCTGTGGAATCTGTACACAGGCTCGCCATACCATCGATGTAAGCAGTTCGCTCAGACTAGCCTACCCTGATATTCCGAAGATTTGCCGCATACATGCCTGTGTGTATGTTTCTAGGCACATCAAGCAAGCCATGCTGAGTATTCTACTTCTCCATATCGAGACACTTGATTACCTCAAGACGCAATTTCTTTCTTGAACAATTCATACTTAAGCCCTATTTCTTATTCGAAGTCGCGTAAAAATTAAGTAACTATTGGATCACAAACGTAGAGATCACTGTCGACCTAGACCCCTCGCACATCCACGGCCCTCTTCTGAGCTTTCATCGTGTCGATATTAGTCGACGAAGCTCCTTGTCCTTCAAAGCGATTCCCCGTCTACGATTCCAACTCCTCTATCTTTGACAACGCCTTTTCTAGTTCCGTTTCAAGATGAGCTATCCTCTCTTTGCGTCGCTGCCGAAAACGAGCCGAGGCGTCTGCATTCCGTTTGCATTTTTCATCAGCCTGCTTCGAACCCGTTGACCGTTGGTAGCGCTTCGTCCAAGGCGTTGGCCATGTGGAGCAAGGCCCGAAGACAGCTTACGTCGCTTATTCGGGTCATACACTGACTATGCTATGCAAGGCTGGAGTTCTGACTCTACCCACTCCCCCTACCTGTGGTCTTGCGTACTCGTCCCAATTCGAAGACGCTATCTCAAGATGTACACCCCGTGCCAACTAAACCCACACCAAGGCTGTATGAACCTGGCATTCGGTCTACCAAGTAGAAAACAGGTTCAGGTTCGAACAATAGCCAGACTGGTGCTGTTGATCCTGAGCTGTGTAAAGTACCAATCAATCGACAACCAACACACGGGTCGTGCGCATTACATACATGACATACCACCCAATCTCAGCATTGTCTTGTATCTGGGGAACAAAGCTATGACCAACGAGGTCGCGGAGAGATGCAGCTTTTCTCGCTTGGTCTATTGATCGACTGGCGTTCATATCGGCATCCCGTCTTCAGTTCCAGGCGAGAACGAGGATATACTGCTACAGGAGTTTCGTTCGATCCAACCTAGGCCATCATTCCTGTCATGGTCGGCCTGAGTAGAAGTATATGTGACCGTGCTAGAAAATGTGTAGTTTCTCGGACACACTAGAGGGATGCGTATGATTAACAGAGTCAAGTCATAAGCATCTCAGCGATGCGGAGAGGCTGCCCTGCGAAAAGTTACTCTCCCACATCCTGCTTAAAGAACAGTATGAGATTTCTCACTAATATATGAGGAATGTCAGCATTACACCACGAGCTTACGACACTCGCATTGAGCATTCTACGGATCATTAAGTTCTCTTGGCATTATTAGAGACCCTAGAATGGTTCAGCTAGCCTGGGTCACAAACGCTATGTTGACCTCCTATTCAGATTTTCAGAATGGTTCTATCTGTAACGCCGGAACATTAGTCTTGACCCCTGATAGACAACCCGGCACGGACAGGCTACTGATCTGATTTGGTCATATACGGGATCAAAATCAAGTCCTCCCGCTCGAGGATGTCCTGGTCTAGGCGGTACTGATATTGGCGTTGTCGGAACCTAACACGCACAACGCGCAGACTATCCTTGCTCAACGGTTCACGCAGCGGCTCGCAGACCCATATCTGAAGAGCTTCCTGCGCGCCCTCATCACTGCAAGGTATAGTGCAGTATATCAGCGAAATGCCACGCAGCGTTAGGCACGTGGAGCCTGCGCCCTCTCAGTGTGGGAACTTCGGTAGAGTAAAGCGTGACAAAGTTGATTGACAGTCCTGTAGTCTGACCAGCTTAATTTAGTCCGTGTTCCCATTCATTGCTCTCACTCCGAGGCAAGTCTCTAGGCTGGCTGCGATGAAATGTAAGTTATAGAGATGTAGCAGGAGTCCTACATATAACAGACATGGTGACTAGAAAGAGAAACGTTTGATCATATACCCGCCAGGTACAGTGATAAGGATGAATTGGAGCTTGTGATGACGCAGTAATAACGGCGAGAAGATAGTAGACCGTATTGAACTGGTACTTGGCTGTTGCCATCTTCTTTCGAGTACTCGTCCTTTCCACCCAATGCTTGAACACACTTCTGATAACCTTGACTGTCTATAAACGCCAAAAGATCTGGGTTGTCCATACTCTAGACTTCCTTGTTATCAAGTTTGAGCCATAAGAGAGTACCGAGTCGCAGATTTGGTAAGGCTTGTCGACAGTGCAAAGGCCAGTCTACTTTGGGGCAGGACTTCAATATGAAGCCTAGGCAAGTCCACTTCTGAAAATCTTCGCTGGAAAGCGCAGGTGGAAGCCGATGTGGTCTCATGATCAGCCAGCGACTAGTCACAAACGGTAGGGGCGTCTTTTAAGTCCCGCTTGTGATTATTTGCACCTGTCTAGCGAGGCTGACTTTGTGTTATAAAATCAGGCAGTTCTACTATCTTTGAGAAGCTCTTGTACCACCCAGGAGCTTATCGCCACCTTCTAGACAACACTTGTACCTACTTACATCCTAAAACATGACTACAGAGGCACGAATTCTTGAAGCAGCACGCCGTCTCAATGAGGTGACGTTCAAAACAACCCACTCACCACAAAGGGGAGTAAGTGAATTAGCAGCAGGGTTCTCGCCCTCCGAGACTCTCAGTTTAGAGTCTCTAATATGCAATATACGCGACAGAGATACTCGCAGCTCACAGGACAAGATCTGGATTCTTGAAAGCGCCAAGGAGATTGTACGGCAATTGGAGAGCCCAGACGAGCGAGCAATGGAACTTCTCATGTCATTCTCCATCGTACCAGAGCCGTCAGCCCTTACTAAGCTATCGGAAAAATTACATCACTAAGATTTCGTCAGACTAGGGAGCGGCACTATTGCCAAATTATGTCTGTTGATTGGCTCCATCGTCCATGAAGGAATGATTGAGCTAGTTGGTTCGTGATATCTTGGTAGCCGGAAACACTGTCAGGGAGATTTCCAAAGAAGAATGGACTTCTAGCCGATACAAGGATATGCTAAACTTCATCCTGCCTTCTAGATATGTGTTTTGACCCCGCACTTGAACTTGTCCTCCATTGAAGAATTGGGAAGACTAGTGTTGCTGGCAGTATAGATAGTGCTCGAAGAACCGTACGAATGGAGCTCGCATTACTTGAGAACCAAATAAGGATCAAGAGCGAGTCTCTCTGGTGCTGACTGAGCATCAGTAGGGATGCGAGGACAACAATGACGTTTGCATAGACAAGTTCCAGCAGTGTGCCATAAATGATACACATCATACCCATCTCTGCTGTCACAGTGCAGATGAAGGAAAATGCACCCTCCGAAGGCATTTCTACCTTGCTAAGAACCATAAGCAGAGTGTGATATGGTCCACAGACGTACTAACTAGGCACATAGCGTGATAAGGACTAAAAGCCGGCTGCTTGCGACAGCATATGGTAGGATACGAGGAATGGATAGCTGTCCTTTGTTGCCGTTGGTGGTAAGAGACTATGCCTATGTTAGCTTTGTCGCCACTTGTCTGCGCATAGAGCTTTACCTGTCTCAAGGTACTGACGGTGAGGTGTGCTAGGCTCAGGTACCATATCATCTGAGAGTACTCAGGCTCATCAAGTATAAGATAGCTAAAAAGTGTGCTGAGCCCGCTGCAGGTCATGCAGATAGCTGCAAGTGACATATTGAGCATTGGCTGCACGATTTTCAGCTGACTGGTCGCTGCGTGTCGGAATCGAAGGATGAGAGCCATTCCACACTGGATAAGCAGTAAGAGAAATAGAGAAGAATATACCACGCAATCGAACACAGAACATAGAAAGAGCGGGCCGAACAGTATTGAGACATCTTGCGGCATGTTAGAACATTCTACAGGGAGTTGTCGGTGTTGCTTCTATCAATCTTATAAGGAAGAGTAACGTTGGGCTGTACATATCTATACTATTTTTAGAGCGGGCGTGGATTTGTCGCTTGCCTAGAACCTGACTCTCTTGGCATTTTTATTTTCACGCATGTGTTCACACACCCAATCTTTAATAGTCATTTTACCTCTCTACCTCTATATAGAGATCTATATATTATAATATCTATATAGACTTAAAGAGTAGAGTAAGGCGATTATTTCTATATTATTTTTAAGCTCTAAACTCTTTAATATAGTCTATAATAAGAGGGTTTAGTTTCTTAGAGAAGAGGAAGAAGGTAGTTTTCCTAGAACCTGACTTAGTTTTCGCACGGGCCCTCTTCTAAGAACTTCTAAGAATATTTAAAAACTCTTCTCTATCTATTTAAAGAGACTTTAATAGAATAAAATAAACTTATAGATAGATTAAAATATTTATATTTATCTATTATATCTACTTTTAATACTCCTATATACTTAGGTTTAGGTATTAAAGTAGAAAAAGCTCCACTTACGAATATTGGGGTGAGAACACGAGTGCACGAGTGCCAAGAGAGTCATGTTCTAGGCAAACGACAAATCCACTGCGCAGAGCGGGGCGGGGGGCGAAGCAGTACCTTACAGGCCGGTATTAGGACCGCAGTCGATATATTTAGACGTCCCCTTGGACTAAAAAGCGAACGCTGCCCACTTCGAGCCGGGTAATAGATGCAAACATGGCCCTGAAAGACGTGAAGAACCCCAAAAAGCAGCTAAGAAGGAGACTTCATGGCCTGCCTCGTTAACGCAAATCTACTACTAAATTGATAGAGGCAGCTGCGGCGAGGGTAATGGCGAAGAAGCAGGCTCGTAAACGTACTGCGGCGTCAAAAAATCCACGGATTGTCGACATTTCTGCGCCTCCTGAGGCTACACCTCCTCCTCCTCCTCCTCCTCGTCGTCCCTCTACTCCTCCTCCTTCTACTCCTCCTACTACTCTTTCCTTATCTCCTCCTGCGAATCCCGTAAATAGCGGTTAGAATAAGGTTATAGAGGTTGAGGAGGAGGACGTGGAGGAGACGTATAAGATACACGTGTCCTAGAGATTACGTGTTAATAGGAAGAACGAGGTGGCGGATAAACTTACTACTATTCCGCGATGTGCTTTTGAACGCGAGGTGTACGAGGGTACTATTAATAAGGCAATTAGTACGAAGCTTAATATAGATGACTAGGCCTTCGAGACTCGTTAGGTCATGTGTAGTCTTGGTATAAGGAAGAAGTAGAGGAGGACACTTGCTATCAACGACTGGTCGATTATTAGCTGGGAGAGACTCTATATAGTTATAGATGAGATCCACTCACTCGCTAGTACCAAGGATGAGGTTATTATAGTTACCTTTGAGGATAGCGTGAAGTGCGAGTCGTGGGCTAAGAAACCTTAGCTACCTTAGTAACATATTCGTTATCGCGACTCTCCTACGCTATCACTAAATATAGGGCTTCGAAGTTCGCCGAATATAGAGAATCTCTAAGGGCGTGCCCGAGTAATATATAATAAGGCTTAGTAGAGGAAGGACGCTGGTCTAAAACGGATTAAGATAATTAGCTTGATAGAGGCAACCTATCGCTGTATAGACGTCGGTTGTAGTAACGAGCGAGGCCACTGTTTTATCGTCCTATCCTTATTAGGACGTCTTCATTATAAGATCGAACGCGCGTCGATAGAGCCGTGGGTACACGCTATTGCTGTCGGTATTGCTGGCGCCTCCGTTAAAGATCCTCCAGTGGGTGTAATGAAGTAACTCGTATCCAAGCCCTATGAGAGAAAATTAGTAAAGAAGCCAGGTAATAATGGGCAAGTCGATATTACTGCCCTCGTAGTAGAGTATGAAGCCAAGAAGCTAAAAGCAGCCCTCGATGATATAGATCGTCGTGAATAGGACAAAATTGATAAGGCTAAGGAATAAGCTGAGCGTCGACGATGCGACTAGTAGATGAGGTAGACTTAGCTTCATTAGGCTGGATTTAATCCTATATTTGGAGCACGTGTGCCTCTGTATCCGACGGCTATACCACCGCCATATACGTTACCATTACTAACTCGTGAGGTTGATAGTTAACGCCCTCGTGAGGTTAATAGTTAACGCCCTCGTGAGGTTGATAGTTAACGCCCTCGTCTATTAACACCACTAGATTCGATAAATCCCGCCCCGTATAGTAGTCCTACTTAGCTAGAACTCCACTAGGCTGACGTCGTTTAATTAGTACTTGAATAGCGACTAGCGAAGGAGACTCATACTAGGACGAAGGACGGAATCAGGTTACTCCGCGAGTACGCCGTTGAAAACTGTTGTTAGTATAGATAAGTCGAAGAGATTGCTCGTCCTGGGACCGCTTATTATAAGGCGGCGAAGTCGTATAGCGTCCTATTGAGCATCATCCTAGATGCTCGTCGCTATCTTCATGAGTATAAGGGTAGTCTCAAGGCGATAGAATAGGAGGAAGCAGCGAGGGCACTCCATGGGCTTGCCTCTAGTACTATCTAAGTTATTTAAGTAGAGATGTCGCGGTTTTCCTATAGTACACGTATATATATAATCAATATTATCCACTGTATTACCCTATTTAGCCATATACGCGAGGGCGACGTGACGTCAGTCAGTGAATATTATCGCAAAAAGTCGACTAATATACCCAACTTCATCTGCAAAACCTCTCTTCCTACTACGTCTAAATTGCTTTAGATTATGAATAATACGTTCCCGTAGCGTTTCATTAATATACTAACTATTAGTAGTATACGCGAAGAAGCGGAGAGCGAATTGATCGCAGTAGCTATCTATAAAGGCGCGGTATAAGAACTCCTCGAAGTTGACTGACTGCTCATATACGTATAGGTACCACCTTCGAATCCACGCCTTTAGTACCGCCCATACCATCTTAATAGGGTTGTAATTAGGCGAATAAGGCGGTGTATATCGAAGTGTATGGCCAGCTATAGTAACCATAGGAGCGACGTCGTCGTTAGTATGAAGAGAGAGATTATCCATCACGATAACCATCGCCTGATTAGGGTACTTTTCTTATAGGCTAGGGAATAGGTATACCTCTAGCCAGTCGATAAACTCTTCCTTATTAAAGTAACCCTTCTTAACTCTATAGGTAACGAATCCATTAATAGAGATAGCGCTATACGCGCTGTACGTCTGGCCACGATTGATGCGAGTAGATTGCGTAGGTGTCTCCCCACGAGGTGCCCTACCTCGCCTTCTCCACCCTATTTTCTCGTTAAAGATAACCTTATTAATAAATATAAGGCGCTTAGTAGGTAACTATGTAATATCCTTACGATAGGAGCGACGTGCAACCTTAGAGCGGTCGGAGCTAATACGCTTCAATAGCCGCCGAGTCCATCCTCGCTTTATCAACTACTTCGAGATAGTAGATGGTAAGGTTACTATCTTAAGCTCTTCATATAGCCACTTAGCCATCTTATTAAGGTATAGCCATCCCTCCTCAAGTAGGTATTCGAATAGTAGGCCTATTATACGATCGCTAAGGATAGTCTCACGACCACGCGTCTTTGTAGATCGAGGCTTATTCCGCTAACCATAGGTATCTAGATTATACCTCACGCGCTGGACTGTCGATATAGATACTTGAAACTTCTCTACGGTAATAGTAGTTGGCACGTCGTGCTCGAGGAGGAAGTTAATTCGACGATAGGTACTCGCGTCGTACACCCTACTAGGTAGACCCACTATCTATACACGCGACTGTAAGCCTAAAACACTAGAAATATATAAAATAAGGGCTATACTAACTCCTAGATAGCCTTATAAATCTACCGAATACGTATATACGGTAATTACGACGCGTGGGCGACGAGTATGCGATAAAATGCTAAAATATGTCCGTCTCACGTAAATTTGGGTGGGGGAGACATGGATCCTCGCTCCAGGCGTTCACTATAACTAGCACACCTAATATTTAGATAGGGATAGTATAGCGTTTCTCAGAGTGTATTTAGGAGTATATATTTATATATTATAACCATATACTCCTCGAATAGTACCTAAAACAGACATATACAGAGTATTACTAGCTAGCTAAGCGACTTACTCGTCGCCGACTCGCCGACGAGTGAGTTACGCGACGAGTTCGTAAAAAAGTCTCCCAATCTCCTCAACTTCAGTAACCTCTCTACCACCTCTACCTTGTCCAAACCTATCCAAATCAGCTACTACCCTCTGCCGGAGCGTCTTGTCGATATAAAACCCATCTACGGCATGTTTAAAGAAGCGTATAGCCCACTGATCGGCGTGGCTGTATGTAAATGCGATGTAGAGGAAGTCCTTAAAAGTTCGAGATTATTAACGTGTCCAGGTATACCACCTACGAATCCACGCCTTTATTACCGCCCATACAAGCTCGATAGGGTTGAAGTCAGGTGAGTACGGTGGCGTATACCGTACAATATGGCCAGCGCTAAGTATGAGTGGTTCAATCTATTGGTTCGTATGAAGTGCGAGATTATCCACGATGATTGTCATCGCACGCCCGGGGTATTTTACCTCAAGGGCAGGCAGTAGGTATATCTATAACCAGGTATAGAACTCTTCCGTCGAGAAATAACCTTCCTTTATCTAATAGCAGACAAAACCATTAACTATAATAGCACCACAGGCGCTATACGTAGGTCCTCGATTAAGAGTACCAAACTTAGTCGGAGTCTGTCCTTTTGGTGCTCTAGCTCGACGCCTCCATCCAATTTTCTTATTAAATATAACCTCATCCAAGAACACGTACGAGTCTGCTAGTAGCTCCGCTATATCCTTAAGGTATGAAGCGCGTGCCGTCTCTAAGCGCGCACTACTAATACGTTTCAATAGCTTACGATCCCAGCCTCGCTCAGACAACTCTTTAGATAGAAGCTGCTTGGATATAGTAAGATTAAACTCTTCGTATACCCATCTAGCCATCTCATCAAGGTATAGCTAGCCCTCGCGAAGTAGTCTCTCGAGTAGTTATCGCATCATATAATCGCTCAGTCGACGAGGTGGACCACGACGCGACAACCTTGGTTTATTCCTCTATCCATACGTGTCGAGGTTGAACCTCGTCCTATATACCGTATTCTTACTAACTTTAGTAAGAGCAACGATCTCATTAATGGGTATATTATATTATAGGAGGAAGTCAATTCGTCCGTATACGGAAGGAGGATAAACAACGCCTCGGGGCACTATATACACACGCGTCAGTAAGTTAAAAACACCAAGTATTGTCTATACTAACTCTTATATACTATATTATATAGTTACAGACTCTACACGAGCGTGGTGCGGCGACAATGTCGTAAAATGTCAATTACATACAAAAACGCGTGTTGGTGACATAGCGCAGCATTGGGCGCCAAGCTTTCCCATGCAACTATGGATATACGGATAGCGCAACATGCGAGTGCCAAGCTCGTCAGGTTCAAGGAAAACGACGGATCAGAAGCGTTACAATCTAGCATTACCGGATCCTACGCACACTGCCACCAGTTATCTCAACCCGCTATCCGTTTATCCATAGTTACATGAGAAAGCTTGGCAACCGGTGCACACATGTCTCGCGCGCACACGAACCATAGTAAAACGACATTTTTACCTCTTACCGCCGTATTATCCCTTTATAATATATAAAACTATAATATATAATAGAAGAAAGCTGGTATAACTAATACATAGTACTAAAGATCTTTAATATTCTCTCTCTATCCTTCTAGAGCGCCTTTAAAATATAGGAGTATATAGCTAGCTAGACCTAAGTATCTCTCTATAGAATCTACTCTCTTTACTCTTTTTCTATAGTTTTAGAGGTATTATAGATAGTATAAAGTAATAAAAAGAGTATAGATATATTGTTAGGGTTATATAAAATTAGTATATAGTAGTATTTATAATTATAGAGGGATAATTCAGCGGTAATAGGTAAAAACATCGTATATACTACGGTTCGTGTGCGCGCGCGACATGTGTGCACCGACTGCCAAGCTTTCTCATGTAACTATGGACAAACGGATTGCCAGTCTAGGCTTTGTAGTTATGTCGACTTTGTCTTCTTCCAGAACAACCTCTAATAGTCCATCTCCATCTAGCCAGGTGAAATCAAAGACATTTGGCTTCTAGAGTCATAATACAGCCTCGGCTTCGGATCTCTTTAGCCTCACCCGCTTCCCTCGGACAGCGTTACCGCTTGGCAACATCGCAGGAAATGATTTTCGCATCATTAATCATCTCGTTGAACAGTACAAGCTCCTCGTCCCGGGAACACCAGTGCTCTACTAAAGCCAACGAGTTTTCCATCCAGGTAATCCCTTGCATATATTTCCTCAGTCCGTGGCACGTAAAGGCTCAATCATTCCTTCATCGTTTATGGAGCCAATCCACGGACATAGCCGGTAGTACCCTCACGCTCAGCTCTCTCATCGGTAGTAAGATCTGCGACCGCCCGGTCTACACGAACAAACATTACCACAATAAGCAGTGAGGTATAAGAAGTCCACCAAGAGAACAGGGGGCGGAGCATCAAGAATTGCTGGAAAGACTTCGAATAAAGCTGCGCCAAAGAATTGCCGGAAGGCTAATGAAGGTTGCTTTGAGGCTGTTAAGGACGCTGCCAAGAAAAAGGGCAAGGATGAAGATGAGTCAACAGCACGTAATGAGAAGTTCAGTACAGTGGACCGACTGCTGTTGGAACTGACTGAGGCTTTGACGGAGTTGAAGCCTTAATCATTCGATTCAAATTATTGCGACAGGCATTCATGCTGAGCATCTGTTTAGGCTACTGTAGAGTGAGAGTTCTAAATCAGTATGGGAAGCTCAAACAAGTGTGGAACGCCCACGTCACTAATTACATTTATAGTCCATAGATAGCTCTGATAATATATAGTCAAAAAAGCTAGCCATGTCATGCCAAGTTTGGTCCTCTGTCTTGTTTTGTTTGTGTTTAAAAAATCTTGGAGCCATACTCCTGTGGTCACGATCGTAACTTTGCATCGTTGGGCCCTGATTCCCCCAGACATTATTGAAAGTCACATGGAATAGAAATGACGTGTTTTGACTTGCTGTAACACAGATTAATATAGCTCTTCCCTCCTTGGCATGACTATCTCTATCTTTTACATGAAGGTGTCATCTGCCTCTCGACTTAGCGACTGCGCACGAACATTCGACCTCAATGTAGAGCAGTCAGATGTATCCGACTTGCCATTCCGATCGTGCTGTCTCAAGGGATTGTCCTGCCGCGTTGGAGCGTAGTATGCCTTGCTGATAACGGAACTGATCCTCGACGTGCTTGGCGCTCCAGAAGTCGTGCAGCAAGTACCCCTGCGTGTGCAGATTGCCTGGGTCCGTCCTTCGGTCTTTCCAGCGAACCCGATACAATAGGTTATTCTGTATCTCTATATGTCTTGGCTTCTTCCATGGGAAGCCATCTCTAAGACGCAGCTGGTGAATCAAGGGCAAAACGCGACTAAGCTCCTTGCCACGCAGTATTCTCTGCTTGAATCGAACTCGATACGCTCTGCCATCATAGCTTAGTATCTCTGCCGGTTCGTTCCAAGCTCTATTGTATGGTTCACGTGTGGTACTAGATCTGTGAGTTGTAAGTGTGAATCAACAGAACATACCGAACGACTTACGGGGCCTCTTCACTGCATGCTTCAGAGCTCGACCAGGACATACGACTGGTACTAATCTGACTTGTGTACATTATGGGACTTCTGTGTCTTTGCACAGGTGTAGTTGATGCTAGATGCTATTGTGTCTATTTCATTTATTCTTAACATGCCTGAGGGGTGAAGCTTATAAATTAAAGCATGCTACCAACGACTAAGCCGCTACGGAATTGACGCTGCCAAGAACCTACTGAGCCTCCTACCACAGTACGTGGGCACGCAGAGAGCTTCCTGTGCGCCCTCATCACTGCAGTTTAACAGGTGAATGGCACACAGCGTTGGGCCTGCGCCCTTTCAACGTGGGAACTTCGCCGGAAAGAGCAGGTGGAAGCCGATGTGGTTTCATGATCAGCTGGCGACTAGTCACCAGGACAGAATCTCTCACGGCTCAGTTTCAATCGTAACGATATTAGCGCTGAATAGTGTAGTGGCTCAGTAAATTCTGACGGCGCAGTAAGGTGTGACGGCTCAGTAAAGTTTGCGGCTCAGTAAAGCCTTAGTGACTGAGCATACATTACCGTAAGTCACTTGGTATGAGCTCTTTACCTGGGGTATACTTCGCAACTTGGTACTTTATGCGAAATAGCCCTACCTGACTCGTAACCATGGGCCAAAAATTGGTCAATGGAAAGTTCCGCAAGGCTAAAGACAATTTTCTTCGGAAAGGCGTGCTTTTCAAGAGGAATTATGGCGCAGATATCTTCATCGTCATAAGGACGGTGTCTCTTGGCTGACTGATCTGAAGATGCTAGTAAGATGAAGGCGCCGATCATCTGGGAGAATCCGTTTATCCATAGTTACATGAGAAAGCTTGGCAGTCGGCGCACACATGTCGCGCGCGCACACGAACCATAGTATAAACGACATTTTTAACTATTACCACTATATTATACCTCTATAATTATAAATACTACTATATACTAATCTTAAATAACCCTAAGAATATATCTATACTCTTTTTATTACTTTAAATTACTTATAATATCTCTAAAATTATAGAAAAAGAGTAGAGAGAGTAGATTATAGAGAGAGGTTCTTAGATCTAGCTACCTATATACTCCTATATTTTTTAGGCGCTCTAGAAGAATATAGAGAGGATATTAAAGATCTATAGTACTATATATTAGTTATACTAGCTTTCTTCTATTATATATTATAGTTTTATATATTATAGAGGGATAATACGGTAGTAATAGGTAAAAATGTCGTTTATACTACGGTTCCTGTGCGCGCGCGACATGTGTGCACCCTCTGCCAAGCTTTCTCATGTAACTATGGACAAACGGATGTACTAACAAGGCCAACAGGACTAGAACTACCCCATTCTGATTCGCGTAACGCTAAAACTATTCGAGACTTGCCCTCGTTCCAAGAGATTGAAATTGGTTCAGAGAAGAGATAATACTGATCATTTCACGAACAGTACGCGAGTAGTCAGCGTGACGTACATGGCATACCATTCAAGGTCCGCACCACCATGAATCTGGGAAACAAATGTATGAGCAGCAAGATGTCCGAGAGATGTCAAGACAGGAGACCATCAAGCGCCTAGACCACCCTCGAAGAATCTTCATGCAAGATGTTGGAAATCGTGGGAAGATCGTTCGCTGATGAAGTCAGCTTGCTAGCCTGGAATGACTTCTCACACACCCAATCAACATCACTGGAGGGCTACATAGCCTATCCTCGACTTGCACGCAGTGAAAAGAGATCAGCTGGATCAAGGCACCGTATATTAGATCCTGGCTGCATAAACATCCCAAATTGCAAGAGATGTCAAGAAACGTGAATTAGAGGCCAGTTCTCTTTTGTTATGCCATCTCAACAGATATGGCGATTGTAGATATCTATGAATCTTGCATATGTGTTGGTTTTTTAATAATGCAAAAGACAATTCATCCATAGGGCAGGGGAAGGTCTAGAAGTACACCTTCGTTCGCAAGATATACCAGACCGCTGAACATAGTAAGCACAGGTGAATATCTTCGGTACCTCATATAACTATGCTTGTCATTTGATTGGATAACTGGGCATGCCGAACCTAGACGTGGCGTGTTGTGATGGATCCGGATCGCTAAGTCTGTCACCTAGACCGTCTGCTCAAACCGGTCAGACCCTGACTTCCAATCCGAGGGCGCATAAGTTTTGTATCCACCTTACCGCGCCTCCATCATCTACTTTGCGTCTCTCAAGAGGCTAAGAACTACACATGTCGGTCAAGGTGGAAACCCTACATATCAGGTTTGTAAGTGTGGTTGAGATCGGCGGTATATACGCTCACGTCACTCGTTCGGCTGGTCAAGGTTCTGTAGACTACACAAGTATCGCGCGACTACAACAACGAGACAGAAAATGCTACCGTCCTATACGACTGAGAGAAACATACAAACTCTGTCCACAAGCCTCGACTGTGCTGTAGAGGTGCAGTCTCCGCAGGAACTGCTCCTGCGTGCAGGTCGTTCGAGGCCTGCCGAATTCACATCCAGAGGAAAGGAATTCGGATTCGTCTACGCAGTGGTCATGTCACAGGTCCTGACAGAGTACTTCACATCAGGCTTCAATGTGATTCTACCAAAGATCACGTTGGCGCTTGAGATCCCGCTAGGAAAGCAAACGTGGCCCGCTTCAGCTTTCCCTCTGACAGTGAGCGTTCTGTTACTACCCTTTGGACGACTCTCAGGTTGGTCTAGGACATAAGGCTCGTGACCATCACTCATCGATATCGCAGACAAGTACGGTGGATTTCCCGTCTACGTCTGAGGGCTGGCTTGGTTGGCGCTATTCTCGGGTCTTGCTGGGCTCTCACAAAATGAGATTCTCCTCAACGTCTACCGGGCCCTGCAAGGGCTTGGCCTGGCCGCGTCTCTACCATCCGGTCTTATGCTCATAGGCAGTACATACCGACCTGGACCCCACAAGAACCAGATATTCGCACTCTATGGCGCTGCAGCTCCTCTTGGGTTCTTCCTTGGTATCCTTACTGCAGCGTTGTGCATCCGATACGCTACCTGGGGGCTGTACTTCTACATTGGAGCAGGTATATCAGCTTCGACTGCAGTAGTCGCCTACTTCACAATTCCTTCCGACACTTCACAGAGAAAGAGTATGAAAACCAGTCTAGATATTGTCGGTTGTGTCCTGCTTCCGGCTACTATGATCGCGATCATCTTCGCAATCACCGAGAGTACCAGTGCCCCCAGAGGATGGAGATCCGTGCATGTTGTGGGTGCATTTGTTGCAGGCTTGTTGCTTCTAGGTGCTATGGTCTACTACTAAGGGTGGCACGCTGAGCATCCACTCCTACCTCCAACCATCTTCCGAGTGAAGTACATGCGGCCCATTTCTCAAATGAATCGCTGAGTATTTATATGCTATACTGCACCCTCTAGTAGGTACTGTAACATTTTCCCATATATTTGACTGACGAATAGATAGTTTGGCGAAGATTATGGATGCATCACCGTTGCAACTTGTCGTATGGTTCGTCCCAATGGCGCTTGGTGGTATATTCATTTCACTACTTGGCGGTCGTGTTCTACATCTTGTTCCAGGGAGCTATATTATGGTTGTTGCTGGTGTTGCCTACGTCCTCGCTCCTCTGTTACTCATACTTGCTCCCCCAGGAGCCAGCTACTGGCACTACGCTTTCTTTGCGATGGTTTTTGCAACTATCGGGATTGATACGACATTCACAGTATCGAACGTCTTTGTAGGTCTTTATCCCTCCCGCCTAGAGCCTAGCCTAATCCATATAGTTGACAACCCATGTCCCGATTCAACATCAAGGGGCTGCTGGAGCAATCAGTGGAAGCCTGGTTCACCTCGGCGCTGCGCTTTTCCTAGGAAGTGCAAGTATCATGTCGGTCAGGAAGCAGCCTGAAGGAGAGCTCCAGAGCTTTAAAGCAGTCTTCTACCTAGAAACTGCTCTGGCCGCTACCTCACTGCTTATTATGGTAATGTTTGTTCGTGTAGACCAGGCAGTCGCAGATCTTACTACCGATGAGAGAGCTGAGCGTGAGGGTACTACCGGCTATGTCCGTGGATTGGCTCCATAAACGATGAAGAAATGATTGAGCCTTGTTCAACGAGATGATTAATGATGCGAAAGTCATTTCCTGCGATGTTGCCAAGCGATAACGCTGTCCGAGGGAAGCGGGTGAGGCTAAAGAGATCCGAAGCCGAGGCTGTATTATGACTCTAGAAGCCAAATGTCTTTGAGTTCACCTGGCTAGATAGAGCTTTGACACCAAGGCAGTTCAACAGAATTAATCTTGTCGTTCGCACTTTTGGATACTCCATAATTCTACAACTGTCTATCACAAGTCGAGAGAATTCCTCAGCCCCAACGAAGAATCGCTGTACTTGTCATTACCGTGAAAATTGCCGGTATGAGTGCGCCAATGCTTAGACCCTTCAAACTACCGTACCTCAAGTCAATCCATGACGGGAGCAAATCCGAAATGCTACCAAGCTTCGATAAAAAGCCGAGTATCACCGCGAAGATCATAAGGCAAAGCAAACTGAAAAGGAGCGTCACCCCCCCTCTGACCTTCTTCGAGTCTAGACCTGGGACACAGATCAAAGTGCGTTGGAATG